TTAATTAAAATATTACAAGGATCAAAATGGTTCATACTAAATCCACACCGATTGAGCTACACGGTTATTTGCGTCTGCGTGTATTACTGTATGTGTGCGTAAATCCATGCGATTAAACCTAAAGTTGAGCGGCATCATTTTGTAATAGGCTAATCTTAAGGAGGAAAAGAACGATTTATTTGCCTAATTCATTATTCACATCAAATTAAGCTATCTTTGCATTACGATTGTACACACCACATTCCTTGCAAATAAACATTTCTTTTCATTTCATACATACCTAATAATTAATAAAAATATCAATATATATATATATATATATATATATATATATATATATATGAAGCCTACATCTACAGGCAAGTCGATTTCTATGTAACTATGAAAATTAATTAATCTACTACTATTTACCTGGCGTTGTCATTTTTGCAAACCGTACAGCGTCAGTTGCCTCTACTTAAACAAGGAAAGGGTGGAATGAGTCAGCTTTCCAATAACTGACCATCGCAACTGCACTATTGCACATCCGTAAATCCATCGACCATTCACACTTCTAAGTATTGTTACACATTCTCACATTTTTGCATGACTTAAGATTTTTCTTTAAGATTGCCACCAATTGCTTTCTTCTTTCATCCTTTTCAAAATAAAATTTGATTTAATAATATATCTTTTTTTTAAAAAGATATGAGAACACACAAATATATACAAATAAATAATTTTAGTGTTTTTTGTAACTTAAAATTTACAGATTTTCACTAAATGCATATCAAAGATTATACATACCTACTCGCATTAAAAAAAATTTTTAGCTTCTCCGTCTGTCTATGTCAATTCTCCGTCTGTCTATTTGTTCTTAAAATCTCTAAAATGGCTGGAACGATAGACCGATTTTAATCTTCATCTGGCAGTTCTAACTTTGTCACAATATTTAAGTGCGGCTATAAAACCAATTAAAATGAATATTTTACTTAGGTATATGATATACCTAGTATTAATTGTAAGTGTTGTTTAGCTAACTTAACGCTGATATGATACTAAATTGTATCAACGCTCTTGCGGTATAAACATTAGGTAAAACTTGTTTCATGATTAATTCGCGTTCATCACTAGTCTCTTGCATTATAGAGACTCTTGTCCCTTATCCGTATAAAAAAACTTACATATAGTAGCTTATATTTAGTAGCCCATATTATGAATACTATATACATTAACATGCATATGATATAGTAATATTCATTTTCTTTGTGGTCACCGCTCTGACGACGGTAATCTGGCACACACATATGCTATATTATGGTAAAATCAAGAAGCAGCTCATCCTGATTTAGGTTTAATTATAAACCACAGAACGTCACACAATTATTTCTAATTTGCACACACTTGCATCTTCAAAAAACCTTTCAATCATTTCGCAGCAGGGTGGTGCCAGTCAAACATTCTGTTCCCGTTATCTATCTCAAAGCAAACGCCTCTAGTTATATAAATTTAATCACAAACCCTTCACAATCGTTACAATTGACACAATCCTCTATAGCAGGAACGCCTAAGCACGCAAAAACGAATAGCTGTATTCTTTCAGCCCTTTCGTGCTTAATTCGTCACAGTATTTTTTTGTCTTGCAACATTGGACTCAGTTTATACTGCGATAGAGTTTATTGTTACTTAATTTGGGTTAAAATAGTAGTAAATACAGATCTACAAGCTGCAAACTTTGGTGGTATCTTGGGACAAATCGGTAATGTGACAGACAATGTTGTATCAGCACCTGCAATATTTGACACACACAATGGTAATAACGGTATTTTAATTTATCCATATTCTACTTCCCTATTAAAGATATTAAAAATATAAGATGCTGTGACTCCTCCAGGCTTACTCTGGAGCTCACAACTTTATGAATATTATATATTTTAATTTAATATACTTACTTAGTACAGCATAAGTCACTTTGCAACAAATAGTAAAATAATTTTTTAAATAACTAGTTCTTAACATAAGAACCTAAGAACTTTGTACTAAGTAAGTATATACTTAGTACAAAGTTCAAATTTTAAATAAAGTTTATTTATATATAGGTACAGAAATAAAAAACTATCCTCATTTATTAGAGGTCGAACATGTTTACTCTCTATTTATAGCAGTCATATAATTAGTAATAATCATCTTTATTTGTCTCAAATATACTCATATCAAAGAGATATAAAAGCTCTTGTAGTCAATAAAGCTCCTCTCTTAATTTTGTTGAACTTAGGTTAAATATCATGTAAGTTCTGATCTACTAGCTGTCTGAAAAAAGCTGCTCTTTGAAAGTAACGTACAAAGACGATGTCATCTATTTGCAATCAAACAGTTTGACTATGAGTACCTCCTAAGTAAGTGAAAATAAAAAAAAAAAAAACTACCTAAATACTTTTTACGTAAATATATATGTATCTACCGGATAACACAACAATCTAACATACGAATTTAAATGTTTGTATGGGTCGAGTATAGCTCCCGCGATCATTTTAAGTAAAGCGGTGTATTAAACCGCTAGATACGGATGCCGTTAAAATAGGATGATATTTTGTACATACATAAATAATATACAACTTTCAAACACCCAATGACATTGCACAGACCACATACAATAGTCAAGCAAGCGAAAACATGGATTCATCGTACCAATAACAAACAACATTGTACAATAAAAGAGCATCCCATGCCGCTACCTACGATCATGCAGTCCTTTCAACCCAATGCTTTTACAAGGCGGGGTTATAAATATTTTTGTATATGCGTACCTACCTACACATAGACTTGTAGTTTTTTTTTAATGGGTGATAATGAAATGGTAATCCCGCCTGCGCTACGCTATCGCTACACTAGCGGGTCACCAGTATGGGATGATAGGTGAGAATGAAGCAGGTCAGTTAGCCCACCGTGACGAATCTAACAATAAATCAATCACGATGGTTTCCAGGGGAAACCACGAGGAGGTCGACCTGACAGGGAATATTGCTAGCAATGGGGCTACTAGTCCCCATTACTCATCATCCCTTCTCCCACTCATAGACACGTAGTAGGTACGTCTATAATGGGTATAGTCACGAGCACTTATATAATTGTAAATTATTGACATTCTAGACAATCCCTAAAATTATATCCCTACTTGACATTACAACACTAGTGTTTGAATGCTAACGCAGGTCCTAAGTACTGTTCTCCTGAAGAAGAGTTGTGAAGCCCTTCTATAGAGACGAGTATCCGCCGTCGAAACTGCAGAAGAATAATCACGCACACCCGTGTCAACGGCAATAAACGGTAGAGATACACCTTGAAATATCGGAACTGGAACCTCTGGAGCGGGCGGGTCTCCATGACAGACTTGTCCAAGTAAAAACACGGAGTCATATTAGAATACTTTGAAACATTTGCTTTGAATCATGCTACTCATGCCTAAAGTTCTCTTAAAAAACACTATCTTGATAAATTACAAACGAAAAGGAAACCAACATTGCAATGCCTATGTTAGTTGCGTGGGTTGCACCCCTTTCTTAGTTGTTAGAGGGTTGGCTATCTAATTAAGTCAGCGAAGGGGTTGCTCCCCTATAGTGCAATATTATTATGTAGGGTAGGTACTCCTCATATCGTATATGTAGTGCCTACTTTATGTAAAATCGATCCATTTGCAAATAGAAAAAAGATATATGTCCTCTTTTTTAAAAAAAATATTGAAGGACAAACAAAATTCATATTTAAAATTTTGTATGAATACAAACTTTTTTTACTTTTGTCAGTCTTGCTATTTGGTAGCAACAGTATTTGGACTGACAAAAATAAATAAATATATATACCTAATAGCTACTTAAGTAACAAAATAAATCAGTCATAGTTATCAGAGCAGACCAGTCCCTACAAGCTCTCGTTCAAGAATACAACGGATGAGCCAGCTATTGCTCAGCTCATCCATATTTTAGGTAGCCGAATGTAAGTAGTAGTACCTAGTATCTAAAAGTATACCGTCTACCTACTTCATTAAAATTTACCAGTAAAGCTTAAGAAGTGGCTTGTATATAACCATTACACAAATTGATAAAAAAAATTATGAAAATTTTTTTTATAGAAAATTAAATTTGAAATTACCTTACGTTCTTCTGCATGGAACCGGTGTAATGCGCATTGGCATGGGGAAACAAAAACAGTTTTTTACGGAATATCAAAAAAGCACTGGGGAAATATATAATATAATGTTAAATAACAGTAAATACTTACAGTATTTTGGTCTAGGAGTAATTCTCCAGAAATTTTCTATTACGCATTATGCATGCACAATTATTGAATGTAGAAAAGCAGAGAATATGCTAAGATGAATATGCTTGTTTATGTAATATTTTAATAATAATAACAAAGAAAAGCGTATATATACCTTTTTTAAAGAATTATCGCCTTATTTTAACTTATAAAGCATGATTCTGTTATCGAACCGACAGTGACATGAAATTTTCCGATCATTTCATATCATACAATTTTCCCTCGTCACAAATATTTCAATGTGATTAGAGGTTGTTATTATTTTTGTTACGCATATTCGTCCGGTTATGTTATCATTAAAATGATTGTTGGATATGTTCATAAGTCCTTGCGCGGCATTAAAGTTCCATCTCTACTCGCCCCCTATAGTTCGGTTAGCTTTCTAGGTTAGCTGCGCCCAAAAAAATTACAATAGTTCGAAAAATAAAAAAAAAACAATAAAATCTGTTTATTCCAGGTAACTCAAGACTCGAGTTACCTGAATTTCAACTCGAGTTTACTCGAGTCATGTTTATTAAGAGTTAGCACATCTCTAGTCAAGCAAAACGTTACTCAATATAATACCTTCATCAAATTAAAATAAATGTTTTGATGTTTCATGATGCTTTAGCTCAATATTTCAAATCTAGCCCCTTTTTTGCTTAGTTGTATATTCTTTGGTTTGACGTGACGTCCAGTTGTCAACACTGCCTTTCTGACAGAATACTATGTGACTGATGGTCTGATATTTCATTTAAAATTTCATAAATAAATTAATTTTATTTTCAATTTATTTAACCCTTTCCCTATACATAAATGGATCTCAAAATATGTAGATTATGTTGTGAAAATAAAGGAAATTCCTACATACATGACAAAATTAATGATAAAATTATTTTAAGTGCCAAAATAATGTATTGTTGTGCCAATATAAACATTGTTGAAGGTGACGGACTTCCAGAATTCATCTGCAACAATTGTGAATCAGAACTGTCCACTGCTTATAATTTTATAAAAAAATGTGAAGCCACCGATAAAATATTACGTTCAGAGGAATTTAACCAACCCTCTCCAAATATGAACGATCATGATGATAGCCAAGGAAAAGTTAGCGTGAAGATTGAAGAAAACCCTGGTAGTGATGAAGATCTAGCTTATGATGATATTGAAGATAAGTTTGATATTACTTGCGAAATTCTTAATCCAGATATCCAATTAAATAATAGTATAAAATGCAAAAAACCAATAAAAAAGAAAGTATATAAAAAGAGAGTAAAAATGAAATCATCAACTTTAAAAAAATGTTCTATTTGCAATCGAAAGTGTGCTAATTCGTCTACATTGGTCATACATATGAGATCACATTCTGATGAAAAACCATACTCTTGTCTGTCTTGTGATAAAAAATATAAAGATTCTGGAACCCTTAAAAGACATGTAGAAAGAAACCATTTAGAAAATAGAGAACGAAATTTTATATGTGAAAACTGTGGTAAAAGTTTTTATTCAAAAAGTGATGTTAAAATACATATGAGAACTCATACAGGTGAAACACCTTATGCATGCTCAGAGTGTCCTATGAAATTTACACAGATAAGTGCAATGCTGCGGCATGTGAAGAGGCATACTGGTGAGAAGCCCTACACATGTATCACATGCAGTAAAGCATTCTGTACCAAAGAGGAATTAAAGAACCACCATATGGTTCACACAAGCAAAAAACAGTTTTCATGTTCCATCTGTAATATCATGTTTAAATATAGAAATAATTTAAAAAAACATTTGAGGCTACACTCTAAATCAGATCATTATATTTGCAGTTACTGTGGGCGTAATTTTAATTTAAAAGGCAATTTAAAGATTCATATCAACCGGCAACATTCTGAGAAGTCTGGTTATTGTACTATATGCTCTATGAATGTATCAGACTTAGAAGTCCATACAAGAAAACACACAGGAGAAAAACCATTAAAGTGTGAGTTTTGTAGTAGTAGTTTTGGGGAATTGAGAGCTTTAGCTCTCCATATGAGCTTTCGTCATAAAAAAACAGATAAACATAAATGTCTAGTAGAGGGTTGCATGATGGCATTTCCATCTCGGCCCATGCTAAATTTTCACACAGCTAAGCTTCATAGCACGGAGATACCATTTCCTTGTGATCAATGTTCCAGAGGATTTTATAGAAAGAGTGATCTTGCAAGACATAAAATAGGCACACATAAGGAAAGGCTTCTAATTTAGACAATGCGGCACTATTCAAAATTTACCAAAAAAGTTTGGAATTTGTATTGTGATATATATTCACTTATTTGACATAAAATATGTCCATAGAATTGCTAAATGTCATTTAGTGAAGAGTGTTTTAATTATCAACATTCAGTATGCTTTGTTTAGTGCAAAAGACCTATCAAAACTCATGTGTCTAACAAAGTTCCAGTCACATCTAGTATATTATGAATGTACTTGCTCCAAACCATTATTGTATCTAATCTCAATTTGAATATCATAGAGGGTTGTAATTATCTAGCTGAAAAATATTTTGAATTATAACTATTTCATTTTTTTTTAGTTATTATTTATCTTGATTGTATGTTATATTATAAATATCTAGCTGATATATGATACTTAGATTTTTTAGATAAAAGATAGTTTAAGTTTAATGTCAAATACAATCTTATCTTTTTATCAAATCTGTAGTCTGCAGTAGTCTGCAATCTCTGTCTGAGCCATGAAATACTAATAAACAGACACTTTTGATTTGCAATATTACTATGTAGTATTCTGCAAACTGATACAAATGTTAATAAATGTTGATACAGAATAATAATTCCTAGTCATCAACTTGAATCAATTTGTGGTTATAGCATTTACCATAACCACAAGGGATATGTTGAATGGTCATATTTTAGAGTTATCCAATGTTAGGTGACCAATAAATTACATAATTGCTGGTGACACCATAGGAATGTTAAGTCTGAGAAAATAATAAAATGGTTTTTGACCCAAGTTATTAACCATTAGTTGTCAACCATTGTCTCAGCTCTTAGGATTTAGTTCAATTGTCAGTAATTTAATATTTTCATTATACTTATGACCAAAACTAGTCATCTGATTTCAACTTGTGATATAATTTAAGGAAACATTTTATAAATTAAGGAAATAAAATAAATATCCACATTACACTTTACTTTTATTTTAGTGCTGATAAATATTGTAATAAAAAATAAACCATATCACAGTCCAGACATATAAAACAGAAGTGTTAATAAAATAGGTACATGAACAATAAGTTCTATGCATGAGCTATTTAAAATATTTAGTTACAAAATAATATTACTCCAGAGATTATTTTTAAAAGTACAATTTAGAACTACAATTATGAATTATATAAATTCATTAAAATTTATAAATAAATTAAAATAAAATGTGGACTGTGTCATATAATTTATATTAACCAATTAATAATAAATGAAACAATTTACTACATACCAATTATTACTTTCATTGCACTAAAAGTCTGTCATAAACACAACTTCCAAAGTTTGTACAAAGCTATAATCTTATTATATAATATTTTAAATACATTGTAACCCAGTCAATTATTTACAAAACTTGATAACATTTATCATAAACATTTATAGAATAAATTAAAAAAAATTGCACATCTTACAATCAGATTTTTGATCCAGTCAAAATGGTCGATACAGATAATTATAAACTAAATAAATAAACTGCACACAAATATTATAAACAATTCTTCAGTCAACAAGTTACATCTAATTTATACCATAACATTAATATTTGTTTAAGAACAGACAATAATGTGCAAGTGTAACAAGTCAACAATAATTACAATGAATACACGAACAACAAATATACTTATTGTTTACAATTAGTTTGATATTAAAACAAATAGGTATCTACAGATTTGTTTAGGCCGTACTATCTGTTTTCGTAACAAATGCCTACGCTACAGCGTGGACGTGCGAATTAAATCACAACCAAGTCCATCTCCTAACTCCAAAATAATTATACCTATATATTTTACTGTAGCTTCACTATTTTTATGTCATAAAAGTAATAACTACTAACCATAATTAAATAACTTACTACAAAAGCTGGAATTAAAAAATTGCAAAATTAGCACCAGATAAATTTAGGATAAACTTTAATTCGTATTTATATTACAACAATTGGACGAACCAAATTAAGTCGATGTCATCGATTATAATAATATAAGAAACTAATATTTTACAGTTTATTATTTACATAATATTTAATTTGTGGACCATGAACTATCTTATATTAGAAAAATGCAAATATCGAAATCTACAAAAAGCATCATGGACTTTCATAGACAGATCAGAAATGTACCTAATAATCTGGAACGTCATTATTTGTATTTTCGTTAAATTAAGGCATCATTTCTCCAGCTCTTCATTAGTTAAATATAAATATTGATTCTCTATATATTCAATGTTATATTAATTTGTTTACTCCTTACCTAAGACGTGATAAATTTTCTATGGTGCATAATGGCTAATATATTTCAACAAAAAATGCGGAACGATAAATAACATAAATTAGGGTTTCATCCGCAGAAAACCCAGTCAAGTAAACATAAATACAATTTGTATTATAAATATATCTCTTCTATGCAGCTGATAAATCGAAGTACATGTGTATATATAATGTACTGTACAAAATAAGTAAATATGTGTATTTTACACAAATCAAATTGTAATAGGAGATGTACATCTTATTATTGGTTGCCTATGGATGGTGTTTCTGTAGATCTTATAAAATCCTTTTCGTGAACATGAGGACATCTATTAAATCAGATGATTAGACCAAAATTCTTATGTTTACGTGAATTCTGCAGTAACGATTTTGGCACAAAGTCATGTACCACACAAACTCTATCTATACATAGTCTATGGTCCCGCCGAAATCGTTAACCGCAAAACGTTACGGTACCAACTACACCATAGTCACAATTCGAGACAACTATCGTATTGGAGAACATGTGAGTGGACATTCAGTTTATCGCCTGCTCAGTCATCTGCAGACAGAGTGCATCCAGGCTGGAGTAGTCATCATTGGGGAAAGGAAGCGCGGGTGTGGTGGCAGCAGATGGAGCCACCAGGCGAGGTGCGGCCGCGGGCGGGAAGGGCGGATAGGAATTAGACTTGCCTCGTGGCAGCGGCGGTCCGCCCTTAGGCTGCGACTGCGGTGCCCACACGCGACGGTGTAAAGGTTTTTGGTATCCATTTTGCGGTCCGAGACGCCATCTGTAACACGTTATTACTTTTTTAATACAGTCATACAGTCATGAAAGTCAAGGCAGACATCTGATCATATATATAATAAAGTACCCTAAATTATTATGTATCTTATACCTGGGCTTAGGACACCGCCTGTTGAGTGGCATATCACTGACATGGTGGAAGAACTGCCTTGGTGGTAACCTATGCCGCAACCTTTTTAACTCCTCCAATAGCTCCGGCTTATTAAATGCCTCGTGATGAAGTGCCTAAAATACAGATGTAAAAATATAAATTATAAAGTGTGAAGCCAGTATGCTCTAATTCTAGTAATTATCAATGTGACAAAGTTACAAAAATATCCCAAGAAATTCCATCATTTTTGAAAATGTCAACAGTTTATGGCCGCCTCGTTAATTTATGCACTAATACTATTAGCCCTATACTATACCCGAATTTTCTACAATTTTACTACCCATATTGAATAACAAAAGCGCAATTCTCAAAATCAAGTATACCAGAAAAATAGAGTGAATAAAATAATACATAGCACTTGACATTACTTTTTAAAATGATTACAAATGTGGTAAAGCATCCTACCAGTAACAATAATACAACAATCTGTGAACTATAACTATTGTTCACGGTATATAAAAAATATGTTTTCTACAAACCTTTTCAACCAGCCAGCAATGTAACGACAGAGGATCAATAGGTAAATCGTGTTCGCTTTCTTCATGAGGCACCTGCAAGGGGACACGCGAATTCATCCCACAACCATTGCATAAAGTATTGGAAGCTGAAAAATAACATGACTTTTAAAATGTAAATTCTAAATTATACCACACTACAAACAGTTTGTAGCTTAATACGTGTTTCAAACAGTGAAATATTTTAAATGGGTCTATGTTTAATGACACATAGGAAGATCATTTGTTTGTTTTATAACAAAAAAGCCAGATAGTCTTTGTTTCAGTGAAATATATGTCAATAAATAAATCCATTATGATATAACAAACCTATATTTATTATATATACTTTATTAATTATGTGTTAATGCATGTTACATGATCACCCACATATATTTAAGTGTAACTGATATAAATAAATAATTATTATAAATAAGTAGTTAATTTTAATTGTATCACAACACAACACTACTTAAGAATCGCAAAAAGCTGGAAACAGGTATGTATTTTAATTTGTAGTCTGGTAATGAAATGTACTTCCGCAAAGTAGCAACGAATTCGATAAAATATTTAATAATTACTTAACAATAAAATTAATAGTAGTCGATAATAGACAGTAGCAATAGTCAATCAATGGGTCTTTCGAACAGACAATTTGAATTCGCGAGCAGAAGCTATATGTATAATGTAATAATTACTAGTTTTTAAAGTTTAGGGTATAAAATTAACTTACCTATATTTAAAGCCCGCACAATTGCGACGGGCAATTCGGAAGCAGGCGGTATAGGACTCAATAATACACCACGCAGACGTTCCAAAGCTCTTGCAGCTGCAGATGCAGACATCACAGGTGTCGTTAAATCTGCTTCTACACTTTCGATAATGGCTACCCGTTCATTCAATTTCTTTATAGACAACAATAATTTATGACGAGCCCCTTTTGTTACACCTGTTGAAAAATTACTACACATTTACTGCAAGATTAGTATAAACCAATAATGACGACCCCCCGTAATCTAGTGATTTGGCAAACTTGCGATAGACGCGGGTTCGATTCCTCGCACGATAAAAAAATAAAAGACGAAAATTGTTCGTTGTTTGTATGGATCTGGGTGTATTCTATGTATATTATAAATGTATTGACAAAAAAATTAATCTAGATATTCACATCAGTGATTTAGTATTCATAACTCTGCTTGACTTGGGAGTAGATGAATTGATGCATGTGAATTTTCTTGAGATATTAATATACTAGATATTATTGCTACATCAATATTTACTAACTGCTTACACAACATAACTAGTGTTAAGTAGAAATTGTTTAGTAGCATGATTTACAATATACCCACCAAGTTTCTCAAGGTATTTGTCATCCATAGCCATCATTTGGTCATAAGTAATATTTGTAAAAAGCCATACATATTTATGAAGTCGCAAACTCTTTAACCATTGTGTCACTGTAGACATTCCAGGGTGTTCAGTAAAATTGTTTGACCTTAAATCATCCAACCGTGTCTCACTTCCTGTTGTGCCATACATAACGCTAATGGGTCTAATCTGGCTTAGGCTGTGTTCACTGGATAAAGAGAAACTACGTGGTTTCTGTACAAATGGCTCATCACTCAAATTTTCAGCAGATGATGACATATGTATAAAATTACTTGAAGGCGGCGTTAAACTGTTGGATCTCTGTGATTTCGGTTGTGACACAGCTGCATCAAAACTTAATTTTTCACCTTCTAAGCTAATATCTACATCTCTGCCATTTTTTGAAAAAGATTCCAAGAGCAAATCTGGACAACACATGTCTAATGTGTCTACTCCCCTGAATTCCACATTTTTTCCAATTGTCCGCCTGAAAGTATTGTTTGTGCTCCAAATGTTAACATCAGGTAGCAAGCCAGGGCCTATCCTCTGCTGCCAGACTGTTTCTGTAGTTCTGTTGCCAGACATGTGATTTTCTAAATGTCGCAACCATTGTGTCAGAGTTCTGAAATATACAAAACATAAAAATATAATTAAAAAATAGTATTCATTAACTGATTACAAAATTATGTTTCATAATTGTAATATAATTTGGTGGATTAGAAAAATATGTAACATGGTTCTATTCCATAAAAAAAAGTTGATTGATATATAAAATGATTAGTGAGTCATTTCTAAAAAAGTATAGGACTTGTAACAAACTATGGTGATGTCAGACTATTTAGTGTAGTTAAAATCCCTTCAGTAACAAATACAAACATGACAAAATAAATCAGAATATAAATTATAAGTAATTATTCACTTTTGATCACTATGTGTTAGAGCAGGATGCAGAAGTAAATAAGATAACAACTGTCGACAAAGATCAGATGTAGCTGATGCGCGTCGTGGTGAATCAACACATCGCTGCACAAATGTCTGTGCTGCTGTCACATAAAGATCCTTGGCACGCTCATTATCTGTTCTCAGTAGAGGTAGTAGAGTCAACAATCTACGAAGTTGTTCCCCTCCTATAAACAAATAGAAACCATCAGTGTGTGTTTTTTATGAAATATTAAGGTCATTTTAGTTGATACAAGAGGCAGTTAATAAGCTATACTTTTTAATTTTGTGTTAATGCCATTTAAAGAATCACCCACACAGAATTTCTGAGGATCCCATTAAAATCTATAATTCATTCATTTTTTATAGTGCCACAACATAATCTAATAACCGCAAAAAGCTGGCTATGTTGCCAGTTTTTTAGTAATATCAAATTTGTCTCTAATTTAAAAAACAGATATAGTAATTGTTCCGTATTCCGAACCTCCTTAGTCTAAGCAGGTTGTATCACCGGCTTGCTTACTGGAGCAAAGGGCGCTCGGTAATACTGGCCACATATAAAACATGTGGCCACTTAAATTTCAAAAAAAGAATAAAAAAACAATTGATAATAAGAACTGGAACAAAAAGGACGCTCAGTATTTTTATCTATATAAAACAAGATAATTAAGGAATTATTTAACACAATATAATTGTTTTTGATGAAAATATACACTCTAGAGTGCGTGGCCACTAAACAGTACTACACATCGGGACGTTCCTGAGCAAAGGTGAGTAAGTTTGGTGTTACATTGCTTACTTTGGGGTGTTCGGAGTGTGGAAGACGTTCTTCCAGGTCGAAATCGTATTTTTACTTGCTCCTCCATTAATTATTTTCTTTTCAATAAATACAGTCCACTCTCTCTTTTATATATTAATTTATAAGGATTCGTAATTCAACAGTAATATACCATACATATAGTAATAAGGCCATCAAACTCCATTACTAACATTCCCAAATTATTAATTACTTATTCATAATATTACACTAATATTTTCACTAAGTGTTAATAATTACTCGCAATAACTTAATTTGGTAAATCTCCTATTTAAAACAATAGCCTACCAAAGTGTACTTACTGCCCATATCACCCCCATACGGTATAGGTAGCTTTACTTATTAATTATCATTAAATCATATAATATACAGTAAGTAATATGTACTAATAATACAGAAAAATTCTACCCTCATTTTGTTCTATCAAATAGAATATCAGTAATCTAATGATACTTTATTAATAAGAAAATAATATTTGTATTTTAAAAAAATACTTAAGTTTAAATATCAATGTACGTACATTGAAAAAAAAATATATTTTAGAACCTACATTGAATAAATGAGATAAATATTTACTTACCCTCATTGTCATCATCATCTATTCTAGTATTGAAAAGACTAGCAAGCGCTGTCTCGTCATTAGCTTCGTGTTCCAAGATCTCATCGTCTAAATGGTTTTGTAAGGCTGCTTCCACCGCCCTCTGCACCAGCTTCAGACCCGGCCAGGGGACGCGTCGCGCGAGCGCGCATGCTACCATTGTCCGTTCGCAAGCACCCCATTGCTCGAAGAGTCCAGTTACGCCTGATAACTGATCATAAAAAGTGCCGTTCATTGCGGCAACAGCATAGCAAACCGATACTCAGGATTTGTTTGTGTTCTACACGTCAAAGGTCCCTGACAGCTGATCGTTGTAGTTATATGTATTCTAGGAAACCACCTCCAACGGTGACGGTTACGCAGCTAATATAAACTAAACACCGCGTTGCACAAATATCAATTTTGTTACAAAATTACAGGTAGAACAGAAAAATATTTCGGGTTGCGACAATTATTTTTAGTTTTTCAATGAAAAAAAAAAATTAAGTACAGCACAGACGGTAATCTTTATACAGATATTACATGCACTTTTTTAATATACTATTTTCACGACTTTGATTGCATATCACTTTCAGCCCAACAGTATTATCAAACGAATACCATAAACAATTAACACTTTCCTGCTGTGTTGCCAGATTAAAAAATACGTAACGTGTAACAAAATCTAAATAGGATCTGAGATAAAATTTTAAAAAGTCATGTCTATTTTTTATTATTATAACAATAACTGAAAACATAAAATTAATATAAATTTTGAAGCTCAAATTCAGGAAAACAATTCCCAATGTGTGTGTAGCTGTTATTAGTCAATAATGTTGTATAATTTAGCGTTTAGTACACTGCTTTACTTCCAATGGTCACGGGTCCGATTTCGCATAATAAAATCATGTGTAATCATTTATGTCTGTTTGTGTTAGTCTGTTTTTTCTACCCTATGCAGTAGCTAACTAAATAAGTATAAGAGATTAGATTTTGCGCTATGTGTATTGTCGAGTTTTATTATTATATTATTATAATTTCCAAAGCTTTATATTCTTAGGTAGGTAGGTAAGTAAAAATACTAGCAATTTCAAAACTCTTTATTTGTTTTAACTCTATTCAAAAGTTATTTTCTTGTTTATATAAAAAATCACAAATAACACCTAACTTGTTCATAGTGAAAAAATGAAAGTGATAAAATTTCTCGCCTTTTATATCGAGTATTAACTGTTTTACAATATCTCGACCGATTATTTCTTGTGACGGATTATTTTTAATATATCCTAATATATTTTCGGAAACCTTAATATCACACTTATTTATAAACCCGGAAAAAGCTGTGTAAGTCTCAAAATAAAATATACCGGGTATAATTGGTACCTTAATACCTATTTTTGCACATCTGTGCACAAAAGTATTGTAAATATTTGCTTCAAAAAATGCTTGAGTCAAAATGAAATCTGCGCCGACTCTTACTTTCTCTTTCAGAGTCATTAGTTTGTCGTCATTACAATTAGGTAGTCCGGCAATACCTATACAGAAGTATGATCCCGTGTGTTCTCTTACACATTTTATCAATTCTGAGCTGTCTTTAAAATCCGACGTCTCCGGATTGTAATATTCTGTAAATAAATAATAGATAGATAATAATGTAGTACGTCACGTCGTCATACAACCTATGCCTCCTGAAAATCATCGTGATGAATTTCTGGTGACAGGTGAAATCCTCATGAGCGGTTACCTGTCAGGTTACCTTCATGTTTATTCTTCATTGGAACCCGGTTGAAGCATATTTATCAGTGGTACATGTTAGGTAGTATTTATTCATTTAAGTTACGGTCCTAAGAGAGATATACCCTCATGTCTTATTTAATAATGACGTTTTTATCTAATATACTAATAAGGTCGGAAATGTGCACATGACATCCTTGGCGTTTCAGATGTCATTGGACTACGATAACCATTTACCATCAGATAGGACGTGTGCATGAATGCCCTTTAATGGCTCTTTACACAATAGAGTGCATGTTGGTGATAATGACTTTTAAATTTCTTATGATTCTAATCTTTTTACTTCATTGTTCTATGTTTTCACACCTTAGGCCCTAGGATTAACTCGACAACCTATTTGTAATTTATGTTTCTAAATATTATCTGATATATAAACGTTGCCATTGTCGAATAACAGATGAGCCTATAGCTCTCTCAGCATGTATCCACTACTACTACTACACACTACTAACATGATGTAACTATATTTTTTTGTAACGGTATATAATTATCCATTACACAGATCCAATTATAAGATAATCACAACATACCGTTATACCTACGTAACGTAAATAATATTGTCGTAAACTTGTTATAATCAATGTTTTAATTCTATACAATAGACAGAAATAGAAATCATTTTTATTCAAATAAACTTAAATGATTATAAGAACTTTTGAATTGTCAGCCAATACTTTTTGATTCTATATATGCATTGCTAGTGATGGGGTCATGAGTCCACATTACTAACAATCCCCTTTCCCCCTAACGGTTTACGTTGGCGGGGTACTAGTGGAGGATGATAACATGAGATCAGGGATTTATGACGATGTTTTTCAGGTGTAACTGCGTGCATGGAGGTCAACTTGTCTTACGGCCTTGGTGCCTTGCTATAGTACATATTATTTATTAAATCATCTGGAAAGCAGACTTATCACAAAAAGAACGAGTAAGAAACTATTTACATACCTCCCAAAATAATTAACAAATTCCTAACATTTATCTTTTGGAGTAGTAAGAGTACCCGAAGTAAAAACTCCTTTTTCAACAAATCACACGACAAATGTAACAAAACATCCTTCTCTTTGCTTCGCAAAAATTTCGCGATCCTTAAGGGACCTATATCCAAATGTTCGTTTTGATGAATTTTTGCATGCCACGTGACAGAGAAGAAAGAAGGCTCAACATTTAAATTATTTATCTCCTCTTCAGGAATATCAGGAGTAACTTCGAATGAATATGAAAATATCCTGCTTCTGTTTAAAATATCTGTAATTTTTGCCATTCCTGTAAAATAGACAAGTATAAATTCATATGATTGGATAGGTATAATTATTTTTTACATTTTTTAATAAGAACATAAATTCTTACCTCAGTAGGGTCAGGTAAGAAAAGATAGTAAACTAGTTGCCAAAGGCCTATTTTTCTCAGGAGTTGTCCAGATTTTGTAGTGTCCTGAAACTTCCTGAATGGTTTTATATGATTATTTTAATTACATGAATTCATTTCACATACTTTTACCTACTACATACAACAATTATTTTAACTATTACAACTCTATTACTGCGTCCTGTTTTTAAACTGAATTCTAGGTAATCCGACTCCAAATCCTGGTTTTTTAAATTTGGGGTTGGCTATAGGGTATAGTAAACATAGTAGATAGAAATCTATAAATAATATCTACCTATGTTACACAATCGCTGTTTTCGTCTGTCTGTTTCTCTTTTTACTTCTCAACCTGAATTTTGACAGGGGTCTATATAAATTTATATATAAATTTCTAATCATAAGAGAATTTCTTAATTCAATAAACTCAAACTTTCATTCAAATTCGTTTTTCAGGTTATAAAATCAACCAGGCCGATGGTTATTGAGATAAGAATACGTAATAAAATAAATATTCAATATCAATAACTAAATATTAAGATAATACATAAGATATATAATATAACATCATATTTTATTTTAAACCGTCTACACGTCACAAAATACATGAAAATGGCTCATAAAAAATTACTTACGAAATCACAACGCGTACACCTTCAACCAAAATATCTATGGTACTAAACACTTAATACCTATTATTACCCTTAACAATAATTTCTAGCGACGTCGCGTTATCAGTTCTATTCCGTTTCTCATCTTATCTCTCTATCTTTTTTTAACTCCTCTTTCCCGTCCCTAAAATTAATATATCTATGTGAATGTATTAAGCCGATGCGACGTTGTACCTTGTTCAAAACTTCTTGCTTCTATATTTGGTTGATAAGTTAATTCTGTATTGTTCTAAGAAGCATATTGTGTTATAACAAACTAGGTATTTTATAATATCGATAACAGATTTTTGATAGTACCCAAGTTATTTATGGCAGTACGTACATATACCTATATGTACAGGGATCACAAGAAACGAGTTTGTTTTGTTCTTTTTAATTCGATTTTGATTTTGGGGATTTCAGGTGTGGTAAGAAATAAAAGCAATTGTTTTTAAATACAATATATATGTATTTAATGTATTTATATATGACTGTTCTATACATTGACTAACAATCAGCCATTATACATATCACAACCAAAACTACTGTTAAAAGAAAATAACAAAAACTATAAGTAGTATCACTACTTGTACCGTAAAGCTAATTTGAAGCTGTGAAATACAGAATACATACGTAATATCTATTGCTCATCACTACGTTATTGATTTGATCCGTTTTATATAAAATTGACTAGATACATAGTTAATTGCAGATATTACTGCTATTATCCTGATCTAATCCAGACAAGGGCGATTTAAACATTGACGATTTTCTTAGAAATGTAAAAGCCTCCAAACACCTATTCTACGATTTTCTATGTATTATATTATAGTAATACAATCTACTTTACATAATAATATATACTTACGTATGTAAGTTATTGTTACAGTTTTGATAAAGCTTTAGCGATCGGCACGTGACCGTTCGTAGACTTAATTAGTACCTACCTACAGTTGTTATCTACTTGTTTACATTGCTTATCAATCACAAAACTTAAAACATGACTGTGTTTCAACATGTGTAATTACTTCAGTAATAAACCAATAGTATCAAGACAAATGAGTATCTAATAGATCCAAATAGAATAGATAAATAAACTAAGTACCTATACGCGAATCTTATACTTAAGACTACACGTCGTCATGTCGTGTCTCCATGAGAGATTTTCTCCAAGCGAAAAAAACGTAGACAAACAATAATTCTATTACGATATACTGTCAGAAACAGCACACATATCTTCATATGACAATCCCAACATTCAGTTGTATTTGTCATAAGAAGAAATATATATATGTTTATTAAGTCCTTTTTTCCTGGCATGAGATATCCTCTCATATGATATATACCATTAATAAATAAAAGAAATTTAGAACTGTAAATTTCTTATAGGATTAGTATCTAGGTATATTTAAACAAAATTCATTGTTAAAGTAAGGTTTTACACACATATACCTATTTTGTAAGAATTTAGTACCCATTAACATATACCATAATCATCGAATGCAATATCCAAACTGATTAGCCCTTAGTTTTGTATATTATTATACAAGCGGAACTCTTCAAGGATATACTAATAAGCGACTCGTCGCTAACGATATATATAAAATAACCAAAACGATCGAATGAAACAATATTATCGCAAGCATGCACAAGTTATAAAAAAGTAGGTTATTGGTTAAAATCGAATATATATGAAACGAGTTCCAAAATAATCTCACTAAAAGTAGTAGGTACACATTTAAGAAATAATACCGCAATATGTGTAATACATACACTCTGATATGTCTAATTAATTGTTACTTACATTAACTTTCTTTTTAAATAAATTAATACCATGCTCCACGCAAGGCGCACCGATTCATCCATGAAAGAATTTATCCGTTATATTGCTTTCTATTTGTAATGGTACCTTCCCAAAGGATTTTTATAAAACTGCAATAACAACAAGCACGCAATCCACCTAATATGTACCCACGGATTATTTATACTGAAGTGTGACTAAGTGCATATGAAAGTACTTGCATGAAAAGATTTATTAAAAAAATTGTTATATGTCTGTCTGTTTCTTCTCGGTAATCTTTAAAAATTCTGGACCGATTTTACGGGACTTTCACTAGCTGAAATTTAATGTCATAAGTAGAATATTAAATTTTTGGAAGTTTTATAAATTTTAATAAAAAAATAATAAAGATCAGGGTATCAGATAGTACAAAATATATTACAACTCCTCTGATACTACATATGTGTTTCCATTTATAAATAATATGTGCAAGTACTTTCGCTCCTATAAACAGCTTGTGTCATAAGTTGCTTGGTAGCATAAATAGACGAGTCAAAGGCGATCATTTAGACTTTTGGGTACAATGTCTGTTTCCTGGCATGTGGATTCGAGGACAAGTGCCTCAGGGACACGTAGTGGTGACTTTGTTAATGTCTTCACAGCGAACTTCAGAATTGACACTGAATTCAGTCTTCTTTCAATGATAATTAGAGGTAGTTTATTTACAGGGAACATTCCTAACCTACTTTTCAATAATACATTGACTTCTCAATTAAACAATAAACGTGTATAATAAAACTGGAACTTCATTGTTATTGTATTACCTTATAGGTACAACAATGTAAATCTCTCATATCTAGACTATACACATGTCTTCGAAGGTATTGTGTAGCGCAGCCTTATTCTACTTACCTAATATAAATACCTACTAAATGGAACAAGAATTTGGAAAAATATCACTGCAAGAACAATCAAGGAGTGCATATAAAAAGTACCTACTTATTAATTCGAAATAAACAGATTATTCAGTTTTCATTTTCCCATAAACTATAAAATATGCCTAGATCTAGAATTGTCGCAGTCATTCTGTTGCAGCCTGTAAAGGATATAATGAAATCTAATCATTCAGTGACATATTAGATAAACACTTTTACATATACCGAGTAACCTACTCAGATATGGTTAGGGAAATAATAAGTAATATTTGTTTAAAATTTTTCTAAAGTTGTTCTTCAGTGACAGTTGGAACAGCTTATAACTATGTTGATATTGTCGCATCATTTACCTACTACTAAATACGCAAGTACATATTACCTACTTATAAATCTAAATGCAAATGCGCCTATTTAACTTACTGTATTGACTTATTGTAGTGCAATAATAATGATTAAGTTTATAGCCAAGATTATGGACTCTCTCATATAAATTTTAGACTAATCAATAATAATGGTATATTAGGTTGGTGCTAAACTACCTATATATAAGATGTTTAAGTTATATTAAGCGATAATGGACACATTATTATAGCCACATAATATTAGAGATACTTTTTAAATTATAGTACTTTAAAGAATAATACATTACTTTAACTTCGAAAATTATTTAAAATAATGGTAATAAAATATCTTTAAATCGGCATTTTGCCCATTTTGTTTAGAGTTATTGCTGAATACCTTCAGTTATTGACCCTACCTTTCATTTTTGTTCAGGATATTGATTTATACATTTTATTACCATACAATTATACCACGGAATTTATTATATTGATTTATCGTTAATTTAATCACATTATTTATTCGTTAGTATCTTTCTAACAGTAAAATTTTTATCGCAATATTTTGGTAAAACCAATTGATGTAATATCTTATACAACGTGTATAAAGTGTTACCTTAAAATCAATGGCGATATCGGAGCAGAAGGGATCGCACATCAGATTGCTTCTTGGATCACTTAATGTGGGCAAAACGTAATCTTTTTAAACGATTTTAGAGTTGTGTGTAGACTGTCTGTGCTTTTATATAAAAATCGTTTAATTTATTTTTAATATAGGTACCAAAATTTGTTGTGATAATATCTGAATTTTAAACAAATGTTACATATATGTATATATATAGCTGTGCTAGAGATCGACAGCGAGTTGGTACGCACAGAACACTGTTGAAACTGAACACTGTGAAATAACAGATCAAAACAATATAACGAGCCTTTAATTTATTTTTCAATCTCGAATTATCAATGTAATCAAAAACTTCTTTATGGATATATTTAGTAGAGTATATTGTAAGTAGCTAAGTGGTACATAAAATGATACACAGTTCAGTCGGATTATGTAAAAAGATCACAGCTTTAGATTTGTTATTTTATAGTACATACCTGCTCCAGTCCAGACTGTACGCTCGAAACCCAATTATAGTAATACTATTATATGTATATTATGAGTACTTAGTATTCTCTTATCAGTAGCACAGATAACATAATATTACAGTATTTTTTATACGACAACTAAACAAGTTTCTCCAAGGAGCAGAAAAAGTAATTCCTTTTGTATAGTTTATTTGATATTTAAACATTTAATTTAATGTTTAGTATTAAAGAAAGTGTACACGACAGGCAAAAATAAAATTATACATATATACCTACATAGTACATTCTAGATGAAACCATATAATTTATTTTCATCGTAATTTACAATTTAAATTTAAACATTTTTATATTACAAACAATTATTAATAGCATTTTATTTTAGGTTGGGGTATCTTTACGATAGTACGAAATGATCTTTATGAGTTACATATTAAGTCGGTTATATCAGAAGTCTCCATGGGGAAATTTGTTCAGTATTTCAGTAAACCTTTCCCACACTATCTCATCTTGTTACATCCGTTCTGATACATGGTATAATTACATGTAATATAAATAGAATTACGCAAAACACCAATTAAAAAAACTTTGTTTTATGATTGTACATTATTATGTAGATAGCTTATTGTACATTTATAAATTCCAAAGAATCAATGTAAATTGACCGGGAGAAGAAGCAGCCCATATTTCAGTCACAAATACCATCTGTAAATTAAATTAGTTTAAACATAATCATTGATCAAATGAACTAACTGAATACAAACTTTTCAGAATCAATGCAATCCATTAATCCCGTACCTTATATGTGACAGTTGCTCGTAATATTGCAATTATCAGTTCAGAATAATAAAAACCATTCTTTAAATCGACTCCATCTGCTCAGTTAACTCCAGTATGGGACTTTCACTTAGTGGTAACATCCCTGCGGTGGGGGGCAAGCTGTGGCCTTGCCAGTTTTGCTGTAATAACGGATTATATTTAATTAATAATTAAATTAGGTTTTACGCTACGTAATTTCTTTGCCAATACATCTTAAACTTGTTAAGTAAATTCGAACTTTTGATATTCTTGATACAATATTTAAGCTTATTTACCTACTTAGTAAACGTGTGGTACAGATTACTTAAATATTAAATGTGCATGACAATTATTGTTTATGTACGAGATTTAAATTCTTAAACAGGGACAACAAAATCTATAAAAAGAAATATAATTGGAAGTATCCATTTGTAATAACAAATTAACAGCTCTTCGCTAAAATATAAATGTAAGTATATACGGCATTTACATAAAAAATAATTTAAATAACTTTTGTCTCTCTGTCAGTCTGTCTGTTTCACAGATAAGTTAATATTATACATATTCTGTTGGTTCTTGCTAATCTCTAAAACGGCTGGACAGATTTTTACGGGCTCTCTCAGATAAAACGACTAACTTAGACTACCTTTACTTATATTTTATTTATTAAAAAAATGTCTCACGAACGAAGTAGTTAAACAGGTAGTTTTTCAAAAAAACAAATCACTAACTAGACGGTAGGAAAAAAAAAATAATTTGAAACACTTCATCTTCTTGGAACTAATGAGTTAAATTTTATATATATATATAATTAAACACATTACTAGTAATGTACCATGTAAGATAGACCTTCTCGTAGCTCCCCAAGAAACCATCATGATAAGTTCCTGGTGAATTAGTCACAATGGGCTAACTGACCTGACCTCATGCTCATCTTACATGCTGCACCAGCGTAAACTGTTAGCGCATGCGAGTGCACTATTCCATTATCATTAATTAAGAAAAGTGATTACGTGCTAAAACTATTTTTTCTAATTCAAAACTACAAGCTGAATGGAATTGTTTAATTTATGCCGTAATAGCTAGGCATCTAATAGATAGGTGTGGGTGTTCTTATCCTATCTAGCGCTTAATATATTTGACATTATTATAGGTACTTACAACATTATCTCGACATCGAAACGATTTATGTTGTTAGACAACAGGATTCGAACCTGTGCCTGACCAGAACATCCACTTACATTCTTATTGTGTGTGACAATGTTTTTATCTATCCTTTAAAGTAATTTTGAGAAAAGGAATCTGCGGTATAGCTCTGATAATAATTATATTATGATTGAAGTTTGATTTTGTAGGTATATAAAAAATTTGTATACCTGTAAATTCACATTTATACTTGGAATATTAAATTCGGCACATTATCTTTGTGGTCTGTAGGTACACGCACTATGATCTAACTCTAGTAGGCATTTATAATTAGCATGCATTTGGTGTCTTCTACAAAACTGATCTGAGCAAATTATAAGGTGATGAAATAAAACAAAGAACGATTAAAATTATACATTTACTTGTATTTTAAATAAAACTTGTTTCTAAATAAAGCTATCACATCTCACATATATATTATAACTTTAATTACAGCAAATAATAATCAATACTATACAGACTTTCATAAAGAAATCATAACCTATAAATTATTATTAAATAAATAGATACCCAAGTTAAATAAAATTAATGTAAGTATCATGGATTAGATTAATACAATTACATAGGAACATTATTAAGTGATGTTTGCAGTTCGTGTAAAATGCACCATAAATTATTATAATATTTTAATTATAAATAATACATTGGCAAGTTTAATCTAACAAATGGAATAGTATGTATAATAAAGATGCAATTTTACTATACGTTCTTAATATTAGGAATGAATGTTCTAAAAATATTTTGAGTAATTGATTTGGTAGTGCAAATTACAATTAGTACCTATATAACTTAGTATTGATACATTTTAATATATGCGAAAGTCCTTCTAATTACTAGCTATATTTATTATTGTTATTTGAAGTGAAATTTGGAGATTTTCTATTTTATGCCCTTTATAAAAATGTGATTATATTATCATATTGTAATAAGTAATGAATATATTTGCAATATAAAGGTGTCGTTGGTATACAGTTTAAAAACTTTAATTTATTGTCATGCACTAATTTCAAGATAGCGAAAAGTACGAATCATCTACTTTATGCTCACCTAGTACAATGCCTTACAATTACGAGTACAAAATTTAATGAGACCAATCATTGATAATATATTATGCTTCTGAGGACGTAACGACCAAAATTTTTAAAGCTATTTCACGATCTTACGCTGCGTGCATACAATTGACACTACTACATCTACTTCTCTACGCTTAACGTGTAGATCTACTTAGTTGATCTGTTGGAATACCTGATAACATGGTTGAGGCTGGAAGAGACCAGGGTTCCACTGGGCCGGCCACAGAGGCGCGTCTACAGCTGCATGACTCGCCGCTTCTGTATCCCCATCACGGGTCTCCTTTCCTTCCCGGTGTCCTGCAAGTTCGGAGATCTGGCACGCACTTTGTAGGTTGGACGGTAAATTTGACCAATTTTCATTGCCTAATTTATCTTTATTCATTATGCTTATTTCCATTGAGCCTTGATATGCAAACTTCGAAACATCTTGATTTTCTTCTGGTTTTGGCTTCGCTGCACGATTCGGCCCTTCTACTATTGCCTGAAATGCGAGTAAATCTCTGTTCTCTGTTTCTGTAAGCGGTAATGGAGGTAGAATTTGTTGCTGCTGAGCTATTTTGTAACTCTGTTGTCGAAGCATTTGCCGTCGACTGAGTCCGACTTGTAATGAATGCAATGTACCAATTTCATGAGCAGGTATGTTAGGAGGTGTCATTTGTTTTTGCAGTAATTGCCGTTTTTGTTGAAACAGTCTATGTTGCATCAATTGCTGCTGAAGCGGAGGTTTATTAACTTGAGATGGCACAGAAGTGCTATGCTGTAATTCTTGTGATTCTTGCAACTGTGCAACCATTTTAGGACTAGCTGGCATCGGTGGTGATGTGCTTGAATAATTGAATGTTTCTGGAAGACTAATACGTTTCGTGGGTGGATTTTTAGAATCTAAATAATGTGGAGTAAAGCTTGCTGCAAACTGATTGTGTTGCAATTGTCGCTGTGTCATTTCTTCGGCAGGAATTGTAGATTGATATTGAGTTTTAAGTTTCTGCGCTTCTTTTTGCACCAAGTGTAATTCTAGAACGCCTTTGGCTTTGCAATTTTCATTTAATCGTTGACTATTAAACGCCAACGTATTTTTTTGTGATTCGTTAGATTGCGCCACTTGTTGTGCTACAAGGCCATCACTTGCCCGACGACCTTCCCTGAAGTCCACAGGACTCCTGGTAATTGCTCGAGCACAGTTTTTAGCAGCCGACTGATAATTTAAAGGATTGTGTCGTGCAATAAATCCTGTGCCTGTTGTTTTATTATTGTATGATGATATATAGACACATGGATGCATTGGACTAGTATTCACTAAGGAACTAGTCTCATAGGCCAACTTATCATCATTTGATGTACAACTAGGCAAACTACTAGCCAACTCACTAGAACAATCCGATAACTGATAATCCAGGCTCTCAAATGCTGAAAAATTGCTTTGCGATGAATCGCAGCTGAGGTTCTGACTGAGGCTTTTGTTATTAAAAAAAGTGACAACACCACTACTCGAACTCGAGCTTGCATAAGAGCTTAGCCTGTTTTGAACACCACTTGGAACATTTGCAACATCTTCCATGTCTGTTTCACAACCTTCATCTGTTGATGATGAATACTGTTGTTGAAACTTAGTCGCTTCAGTTGTAGTACCTTGTAGTCCTTGGGTATAAGTCTGACCAGTAGTATACCTATTTAAGGAAAATTTACTGTCCGGCCTGTACAGTGCATTTGGAAATAAATCCCCTGTAGTTGTTGATGTTGAGGAAAAATTTGTTTCAGCTGTATTAGAAATTGGCGGCAACACTGTATTTTGTAAATAAGAACTAAAAACTGGAGAATGATGATTCACGTAATCTTTGAATGGCGGGGTACTGGTTTGTAGCCGATTTAAATCTTGCTGTTGTGCCTGAGAAACCAATCGACTAGACTCTAATGGTTTTGGTTGCTCTAGGACACTACTAAGCTTCGTGTCTGTTAGTTGGGTTGGTATTGGACTAGTACTTAAATTTACGGTGCCTTTTAATGGTAAAGGTGACTGTTGTAATGTATTCATTAGTTTTGCGGCTTCAGAACACATTGTAAATGTTGTAGAACTCGGCAATTTTACGGACTCCAGATTAAAATTGGTTGCAGATGCAGAATTTTGAAGAAAATTTGCAATAACATTATGCTCTGTCGTCGAAGAACTTCTTCCTCCATCGATAGCACATTTTGAATCGAAACTAGACGATGTCAATAACCTAGTAGTGTCTCCTGTGCCTTTACTAGTTTCCGATCCTACTGTTGTTGATTGCTGGAGCAGTCTCCGGCAATCTTCACTGGATTGTTTCAGTATATTTTGTTGTTGTTCATATGTTGATGTAAGTAGTCTATGAGTTGGGACGGCGTTTTCATTTAATTTTGTGCCTAGTCTTTGATTAGATTGTGATACATCAATATTCCTCATAGAGAGTAGCCTAGTTGATTCTGCTTCATGATTCCTTCCAGATGAAACGTCAAGGTTTCCGACTAGAAAGCTCCTATGCGTGTCCGCAGGATCGGAATTTCGCTGGAGCAGTCTTTGTTCAGTCATATTGACACCGGCAAGAGACAGCAATCGCTGCGTTTCAGCAGACGAGGTGTCGGTTGATGCAGCGCTGATTGTAGGAGTCGCCCTACTATACTCCCTTGATTGAGAATCACCAGAATGAAGTAATCTAAAAAGAAAGAAAAGTCCTATGAGATATTTTTATTCATACTAATATATATCATGCATATTTTTATTGTTTTTTTTTATTAATTATTCTTCCCTATGTATAGTCATTACTACTTTCACTCTTCGCTAATATCTTATATATTACACGAGTTTTCTATTTATGGGTTTAATAAGTAGTAAAATATTAATTCTCAGTCTAAAAACTCCAATGAAATTTTATATTGAGCAATTATGTATATAGTATCTTTTTAAACTTGGTCAACATCTCAGCCATTACCTATTTTCAATACTCTGAATCTAAGACTCAATATAGGCCACTCTATAGGTTTTTATAATAAGAAACTTCATAAATACAATACACACTTCAATAAGATACCACTAATATAGCATATAAAAGAAGATCGCTCTTGTAAAGTTTCATAACTAGAAAGTCTTTTTCCCTGATATTAGTTATTCTAACCAGTACAGTGTACATGTTACAATTACCTAGTATGATGATCCCGTCTATTTTCATGGACTTCCCTAGCAAGCGCTTGATCAGCAACTGACGAGGGACGCCGAGATGGCCGGTTCCGCGTCTCCGCAGTACTCACGGTACTTCCGCCTGCCGCTCTTGCCCTCAAGCGTTCCAACAGGAGCAAATATATAGCTGCATGGTGGTCGTAGCTGTTCGACCGTAGGCTCTAAAATAAAAGCACATAAAACGTGAATTTTGAAATTCTTCATATAAGTAGTTTCTATATTAGAAACTAAGGAGAGCGAAAAGAGTTAGGAATTGTAAAACTTGAATTACACTATGAAACACTATAGACCTACACTATAATGTAAATATATTAGAGTTGTTTTAAATGTTAAAGAAATTATAATTAAGAAAAGTTTTTATTACAACAATTAAATTTATATGCATTAAAAATGTTTTTGTTGTATATTTAATTAAGGTAAACTTAAACTTAGACAACGTAAACCATTTCGACAGTCATCCTTTTCCTTATCCTATATCATTTAGGGTCAGCGTAAGATGTTTTTCTCTTCCATGCATCTTTTTTTTTTTATAACACAGGGGACAAACGAGCATAAGGCTCACCTGATGGCAAGTGATTACCGCCGCCCATGAGCACCCGCAACACCAGGGGAATTGCAAGTACGTTGTCGGCCTTTTAAAAAGGAATAAGCTTTTTTCTTGCAGGTTTCAATATCGTATCTGTTCGGAAATACCATTGCTGGAAGGTGATTCCACAATGTGGTTGTACGAGGCAAAGTTTTTAGAAAACCGCACTGTGGAAAACCGCCATTCATCCAGATGATCAGGACGGTATTTCAGTTTCTGGCGGGTGGTACCGTGGTGAAACTCAGCAGCTGGTATTAATCCGAACAATTCCTCAGAACACTATCTAATATCTCGCCGCAAAGCCAATGGGTCGAGTCTGTCACATAGACGTTGATTACCAATGATTCTGGCTGCTCGGTCCTGAATGCGGTCAAATGGAAGTAGCTGGTATTGTGGTGCTCCCGCCCAGAGATGAGAACAGTATTCCATGTGCGGCCGGATCTGCGCCTTGTATAATTGCAAGCGATGGGCCGCCGTGAAATACCGTCTCACTCTACTGAGCACACCAACCTTTTTTGAGGCTATTTTAGCCTTGTCCTCCAAATGACCGCAAAACTGAACGTCGCTGGATATATCAACGCCAAGGACCTCGAGATTTCGCTTCACATCAAGGAGAGTGTCTTGATACTGAGGAGATACGATAAATGGATTCTTTTTAGCGGAAAACGCGCACTTAACGCGCACAAATCTCCGTTTGCACTCATTAATTCCTGTTGCAAGTTGGTAGTTACTGGCAGCCTACATTACATTTATATAAAGACGTTATATAAAAAAAAACAATATATAAGTCGCAAATTTGAAAAAACATTATTACTTTATCTCACCGTCAGTACAAGATATATTGTTGACATAGAATAGAAGTTAACATTTATACATAAGTAATTTTCAACGATTGGCTAGCCTTAAAAATGTGTTCAAAGCCATTCATACCGTATCATCCCACGCCAAATGATACTAAATATATCTTATATTTACCTCTTTAGTTTTAACTGGATCAATGCCTAAGCTCTGCATAAGCCTTAGCACTTGTTCGTTTGGTTCGTGGTGAGCCGGCGTATGCGCTGGGCTCCGAGCCGGGTCTGCAGTCGCACACGATACCACATAGGGCTCCGCTGCCATCCACCGATGCTTCTTAATTTGTTCAATCGTATACCTCTTCATTGGTTCCAAAACTAGCATCTTCCGAATTAAGGATTCACATTCTGAAACAAATAATAGGTAGGTATGTATTCACTTTTCCAAAACCGACCTTTTTAAACGAAGGAAAGCAATTTATACTTGACTTTATATTTGTGTGTTTAAATTATAGGGCTCATTAATTCCCTTGCCATGAGAGGTCTTATTTCTCAGTTTGTTTTTCAGCTAGTCTTTTTAATTTTTAATCAGAGAGGTTTCGGAACCAATTCCGGTAAAGTCATTTAATCAACAACTTTGGAATGTTGGTTCCTTGTTTGTTTTATTGTATTAAATAATTCAAACATATAATATAAACAGTATATAATTGAACTGTTTAGTGATAAAATACCTTAAATGACAATATAAATATATATATATATATATATATATTAAGCATTCCAAATCCTTTAATTACAAGAAATAATATATATTGAGTTAGTACCTCCTAATTAGCATATCAAGAGGAAAATTAGTCTACTATATTTGGAGAGACATCTGTGCTACTGATGTTAGGTTCTACGGATTATGTGCCAAATCGTGTCGAAAACATTATAACCGCACTAAATTAAATATTTCCTTAAGTTAGACACCATTGCATTGCATTTACACGTGTTTATGGTCTTATGCTTAGTAATTTCGAATAAGGGAAAAATTTATTGATTATACTACTTAATAGTTAATAATGGTCTGTAAAGTACATGAATATATGTAGGTATAAGGTGATTAAGGTCATATATAGATACGAATAATAATCTTTTTTTAACTATTTGTATTAATTTTTGTCTTTAACATAGTCTACACAATACATTTACAACCAAATCATTAATTTCGAATTGAATGACACGTGACAAGTCAGTTTTAATCATCATAGGTCATTATAATATTTTATTATATAATATTTTATCTATATATAATTACTTTATACTAATATAAATATATAGGATAAATACTTATCTTGATATATGGAGCATGAATTAGAAATTTTATCTTTAGGTTTTCTTTTCTTTAACATAAATTCATTAAAAAAAAATACTTAAATTATCTGTATCGTTATATATATAAGTTATTATTACATTCAAAAGAATGTTGCCGGCTGACGATCCCATTGTATTATAAAAACCGTTTGATATATATAAAAATGAGCCCTATTCATATAGTGCGAGATTCTTACCTTGCCGTAACACAGTTATCTAACTAGCACGGGAGGTAATGATTTTTAACTGTATACCCTCAAAAATATTTGTTTTGTTTTATATAGTTTATAAATAGTAAAATTAACAAAAGTGAATAAAATTAGATTAGATTAGAAAATTATATTGGAAAAATGCTAACCTAACCTTAAGTATTTACAAATATTCATAATGTTAATAAAATTTTCATTCATTTTCATTCATTTTCATTCATTAACCTAATTGGATAAAATGCGATAAGTCATCAAACTTGAATGTTTCAAATACTTAATAATGTATATATATAATATTACAATGGAATATAATATATATATTATAGATTTATTTTCCACAAAAAATGTATTCTCTCAAATTATTTTGCTTTACGTACGTACCAAATCATAAAAATATTCATACAGATAATATTTAAAAATTTATTACTAATGGTTAATGATAGTCCTTCCTCAAGTGGTAAACCAATAATGATGTGAGTCCAAGAAAAAATTGAGCAGCAATGTTTGTAAAACAGAAAATTTATTAGTATTTATTCATACAAAAATATTATGTAATACAATAATAATACAGAAACGTGTTAAATATATCCTTAAATATATTATAATATATGATCGTAATACAAAGAAATTTATTTGTTAATATTCTTAGAACAGGTAAAAAAGTATTGGTTTATTCATTTATATATATCGATATTATCAACCACAATGTACATATGTATATTGTACGCTTGATTATTGTTCGAAAAAATACTAACATAAATCGTTCAAAATTAAGATTTCAGGATGATACAGAGCTTCATTTATTTATAATAGACAAACGCTTAAGAGTTTCAAATACGATAGGTATCGTCACAGTACTTCCTACGCATGCTATTTTTTGCCTTTTGCTCTGAGTAAAGGAAACCCTTTTACTTGAGCGCCGGCTAAAGCTTGATTCGGGACTTCCTACGCAAAATTGAGGTACGTTTAAACGATTTGTCAAATCTATATATGCCACAGAAGAGAGTTTCCTACTAAAAGTGTAAATATTTTTATTCTTACATATTTCAGATACAGCTTTATATATGAAAATACCTATATATCTATACTTTCGTCCGAAACTAAAACAGTACCAGTAAGTAATAAGGAACTCTAGGAAAGCAATGTAGAGTCCGTGGTCGAAATATTTATGAATACTTTTTGACAATCAAAATGTGTGCATAAAAGTTAATATTATGTGCATGTATATCCTTATTTATTTTGACAATGCATTTGACGTCATACTACACTTTGTATGTCCGTGGTACTGTGTATGTTCAGTTGTATATTCTATTCAGTTTTATATTACTTTTACTACTTACAATACCAAACGATCTGACTCATTTGACCATTTATTCGAAAAAATCATAAATACCAATTTGACCGCAATCCAATTGACGTCGCGATTAGTACAGCTGTTAATATACGTAGTTTACAAATATCACTTTATACAAACTGTAATTGAGTTGTATTTATAATGACGTATATGATGACCTAATATGTTACAAAGGACGCATACAAATGCAAGGTTTTCAGCAAATAAATTAAATTGTAATTGAGTAACAAACCGAACACCTTTACAAACTTTAATATTTAATGCTAGCAGGATCTCGTAATTTGTTATGTAACTGCAACCTTTAATATACTTGTCATTGTGTCATCTACTGAATCATTCATAATGTATTTGGAAATATGTCTTTGTAGTATTTGAGTTCATTTTTATTTTTCTACTCTCAACTAATAATATCATTATTTTTTCTCGTACTCTTCTGTAATAATACTATATACAGGTATATACTTTTACATATACTAATGCAATTCTCGGTGAAAAGGGGTATATTGACGATGTCCTACGTACGTCATGGTTTACCATAAAAAGATATACTCTAAGTACGTATTCATTTATAGTTTTCTGTATATTGTACTATATTATTATTCCTGTAATCGTCTTTTACACTTATCTTTTAGATAGCAAGTAGCCTTACATACATACTCCGTTGCCAAACTATGACTTCAAAAAACTAATTATACTTAGGACAATTTCAATTCCATTTTTTAGTATATTTTTATACATAATTTATTATATTTTATAATATACTTATGAAAATAAACAATAAGGTAAAGTTAGAGGTATATTTAAATTTACGTCATGAAAAAATATTCAGGTCATGCGTCACTTCAGTGAAAATACAAATAATTGCTTTCACATGCCGATGCCGAAAACGAGTGACGCTCGTCCAATATACCGAAAATAATCTTAAGTAAATATTTCATTCGCAACACTCACTCTTTACTTAGCTTTAACAAAACATAGCTCCAATTCGAGTGACGAATCCGATTATAAATATTCGTATAACCTCAGTGCGCTCTGAAAATAGACAGCGCGCTTTCAAATCCGTATTTTGCCGCGCAAACATAACATAGAGCGCATCAATACTGAGTAATTCCCGCAGAATACTATTTTATTTACATTCTATTCGTTCAGTTCTTTCTCAAATACAGCGGATGAATATACTGCCAGGCGATTCTATTTATAGCTACTCGGACGCAAATATCGCGTGCTTCGTTTGACCATTGACGCAATCATGTGAAAAATGCGCGGATATTATTATAAAACATGGAAAGTCGGGTGGGCGCCCTGATGGCGGTCATACTGAAACTCCGTGAACTTGATTCAGTTTATGAGGGGCGAACGACGCCGCGACGCTCGCTGGCGCTCATCGGCATTGGCCGTCATCTCGCACGTTCCGACTGCCACCGCCGACGACTAATTACAGTCATAAAACTCATGTAAACACGCCACACATTAGCTGACGCATTTGCGACGTCGTTACATACCGTACTGGCATGAATTTTATTGCAACAACAAATGGATCAATAATCCAAACACTGTATTGTTCCACTGTCTGTGGATCTATTACAAAACTTGTCAACTGCATCTTGACTATCCACGTAAGAGAAAATAAATATATATTTATTGATTTATACACAGGGTTCTTTTATTTTCTACAGCTGTTGACGTGATGTTGTTATCTGTCCATAAGAAACACAATGTTTGTCTCAATATTCAATTAGTTTATCAAAAAAAAAACTTTGAAATATGTTTGTATCCATACAAATCTTTTAGTCATTATAATTTGTATAAGAATCTAAAAATTAGGTATTTCACTTATTACTTATAGTATATTAATACAGTTATTTATTGTCGATTTGTTATTAATATGACAACAAAAATATTAATAACAAATAACTCAGTGTAAAGTGTAAATAATATCTAATAAAAAATATATATTTCAATACAGAATAACCCAGAACTTACGTCTGTTAGTTGGACAAACAGTCTGATTAACCAATCAATTAACAAAGACGTGAAACATGTGCATTTCAAATGAAATATTAAAATTGACTTAAACTTATTTCTCACTTATTAATTCAAGTATCGTGTCTCGGTTATAAAAAACCTAATTATATTTTAGTACATGTATTTATTTATTGCTTGTTACTTGTAGTATTAATACATTTCAATAATATTATAACAAAAACTAGACAGGAATAAAGAATTGAATACCAAGTATTCATTCATAAAATCTTGAAGTAGTTACTGCCATAGTATGATGGTACATCAATCGCTTAATTCGATTACTTATTTTATCATATTCTTTAAGTATAAATTGTAATCAATTGCTACTTGTATCTAAGTAAACTTATTCACGTAATAAAGTTTTAATAGCTTTTATTAATTATAAATATTATTTAAGTTTTAAGAGTTTTAGTTATGTTAAGTGAAATGTTTATTTACGAAATGAACATTTCACTTAACATAAT